AGGAAGGAAGGAAGGAAGGAAGGAAGGAAGGAAGGAAGGAAGGAAGGAAGGAAGGGACAGGAAAACTTAAAAAGCAAACTTTAAGAAGAATTCAGAATCTAAACCAAAAAAAAAAAAAAACCGCATAGATGAAAGATTCTAGGATGCATAGCAAGAAACCTGGATGATGGCTAACTAAATATTGAATAAACCCAGGCCAAGTAAGATATAACATTACAAATATTTAACAGTGGCAAACTCCAATATCTTTCCTTTCCTTTCCAAAGCTCACTATAAAAATAAATGCAATTATAAATAAACCCTGATTAAACCCTTTAAAAGTGAGGAAAGTTTCATGTTTTCCAAATGCATTAGATCACAGCTGTTTCTGACACTCTTTAAGACTTAAATGCTTACACAAATATAAGTAAAAAAGAAATCTAATGTGCAGGCCTGTGCAAATGCAAAGTGATGCCTAGCTTCTAGCTGTTGTGGAGCTATTCCAAAGCAATGTCTTTGTTGGACTCTAACGTACTTGTACATTTGTGTAGAAGGCAGTTTTCTTGAAGCCAAGTGGACAGGTAAAGCGAACCTTGCTTTTCTATGCCATTGTTTTAGCAACTGAGCTCAAGATAGCCCTAGAAAGCAAAATGCTACAATTTGACACAATCCTGATACTACTTTTCTGTTAGCAAAATACTTACCAAGTATATCAATCTGCATGCAATGGGTTAAAGTCAACGGGTTATAGCTAGCAGCCCTCCAATAGAGTATGCTATGTTGGTTTGTTCAAGATAAAAAATTCACTTTCTACACACTGCTGTGGATGATCCCAAATAATATGAATTATGTCAACAAAGATTGCAAAAAGCCTGGGAAAATCAAAGAGAACTCGTTGTTCTGCTTTGCAGAAGTGATTTGCAATTCAATGGTTTTATGGGTTTTCCAATTTGATGGTTATATGGGACTAACAGATGTTCAAATGAAGTGAATTGGATGACCTAATCTTGAACATTAGTATTATTTTCAGTGGGATAAAACAGAGCCAGCCTTTATTGGATCTGTCCATGATAAATTTATGTAAAGCTGTACTTATGTGCAATGGTTTATGTTCCCAGTGTCATTTGTGTTTGCAAGGAAACTTGCCAGATCAAATGCTTTAGAAAGGCAGAATTTTGAAAACTGATTAACAGTGGTACATTTAGTTGCTAATCAATTAGTTGCATTTTAAGACATACTGCATTAATATCCATTTCTGCAGATAAGTGAAATATTACCCTAAAGAAGTTCAGTACTCATTTAAAGCATGTTCATAGCTGCAAAAGCAGTAATACTACAGAAAAAAATGGGGGAAGGTGAAATATGACCAGATGAAACCAAATAAAGGTCAAGAACCAGTAACTGACTTGTACGCTCTTGATAAGTGGCCAATGCTGATCAAAATGTAAACCTGGAAAAAGATAATTCCCAAGAGCCATGGAGAGGAAACATGCCTTCATAATGTTTTTGTTGGAGAAAAACAGTGTTCAGCCTTCTGTATGACATCCAGAAATCAAAAGGCATCCATGTAGTTCTTGGGTATTATCAAGTCTTTATCCAAGGCTAAGAATTGTCCTGTTTGGCCTATGTACCTGAAACAACGATGTTGTTGACAGATGGTGGCAATTATCAGTGTAAGTTCTGTCTAGATCAGGGGTGTCACGTGATGTATCAGGACTTTTTCCCCCTTCACTAAACCGGGAGTGGACGTGGCCAGTGCGTGACGCATCTGGCCTGCAGGCCAGGAGTTTGGCAGCCCAATCTAGATCATACCAAAATTGCAATACATTTATTATTGTGTTAGATGACCCTTTTAGACTACTCTCAGCTTGTTCCACTATCTAATACATACCATTACAAACATACATTTAGACTCTCTTTTGAATGTTAAAAATAAAAAAGTTATGGAAACTGGAAGCTTTGGCCATGAATCTTAAGCAAAGACTGTACTTATAATCACCCAGTTAACAGATTAGTGACCTGCCAGCTTGCCAATTAGGATCCCATTAGAGCAGGAAAGGGTAGGCGTCATCCCCATGTACTGTAAGCATCCTTAATGCCATTCCAGCTATGTGGGAGGGAAGGTATATTTATACTTTAGTTTCTCTGCCTTGCCAAAACAGTGGCAATGAATGTTTCATATATATTTCCAATATGCCTCTGTCAGCTTGTAATGCCAAACCATGATGATCTGTCTTCTGCGTAGTTCTGCTAAGAAATGCTGGTGCTAGTGATTGGAAATGACTTCCTTTGGAAGATATGCCATCATGCCTAGATTTCATATGCAATTGCCAAACATGCAAAGCATGTCTTTAAGGAAGCAACCATATGATTGACCTGCTGTCAGGATTCCAGCAATCGCTCTAGTTAAATCATGATTCTGGAGACAAATTTCAAAAAACTTCAAAGGATTCATTAGAGGCGACATACTGGTACTGCCCTGTATTGAAGCCAATTCTGGCATATCTAATTTACAGTCTCCTGTGACCCTGTTTCCCCCCTCCCGCCCCGGGTGTCTCATAAACCAGATTCTCCAATTGACCGCATTCACAGTGTCATCATTCAACATTCTCCAATTAAATATATTCGGGGGCAAAACTCTGATATTTTAATTGAAATCTTTTAAAGATAAGATTTGGAATGTACTTTTGCTTTCAACTGCTCTTCTAGATCCCCCCCCCACTTTTAAATGGCAACTACTAAAACAGGCATAGGAATGTTTTATGAGTTGACACCTTATTCAAAGGGTACCCTAAATTATTTCTTTGTCTCCTATTAGACCCACACAGAGTCCTACATTAATACATCCAACCATCTGCTGTTGAATAACAGTCATTATGTCTATTGCCAAGGACCTGGTTTTATTCATCGAAACTCACAGAAGGAAAGAATCTTGGTGGGCATCTACCCTAACTTGTTCATTGAAGAATCTAAGTACAGGTAGTCCTCGGCTTATAGTTTATTTAGTGGCCGTTCAAAGTTATAACAGCAATGAATTTTTTTCTCACACTTAAGACTTTTGCAGCATCCCCATCATCATGTGATCCAATTTCAAACGATTGGTAGCTGTTTCATACTTATGACTGTTGCTGTGTCCCAAGGTCACCTTCTGAGAAGCAAAGTCAATGGGGAAGCCAGATTCACTTAACAACCAGGTTATTAACTTATCAACTGCAGTGATTCACTAAACAACTGTGGCAAAAGAGGTGATAAAATGAGGCAAAACTCACTTAACAAATGTCTCACTTAACAACATAAATTTTGGGCTCAATTGTGGTCGTACGTTGAGGACCACCTGTATTAGGGCTGGGTGGAGATCTATAGTATTGCTTAGACAGGAGTGTTTCCACCTCAGCTTTAACACCTTCAAAAATTATCATATTCATTGTAAAACAACTCCCAGGTTTCAATCCAATCTTACTCAGCAAGCCTGCAATTGTTATCTACTGTTATACTTCTGCATGCTTCAAAGTCTGCTCTATCTTCTGTGTGATAGCTAGGTAATGGTAGCAAGCACAAATCCCTTTAATTTTTCTCTTCTCCAGACAAAACTGTTCTTTCATCTCTCCCTCATGGTACGGGGGACTTTAGAGCAGACATCTCCAACCTTAGCAACGTTAAGACTTGTGGACTTCAACTCCCAGAATTTCTCAACCAGCAAAGCTGGCTGAGGAATTCTGGGAGTTGAAGTCCACAAGTCTTAATGTTGCTAAGGTTGGAAACTCCTGCTTTAGAGTATTCACTTTCCTGGTAATTTTTTTTCTGAACAGTGTCTAATTTCTTTTCTTAAAATTATGGCACTCACAAATCTCACAGTCTTTCAGACAGTTTGACCAATGCAGAATAGAAATAATTTTGGAATCCAGGATCAGAAAGCATAAATGCTGTAGGGTCTGCAAGCCAGGGGGTTGGATTCAACCAGTGTTACTACCGGTTTGGTGACTATGTTTTTACATGCTGCGCGTGGGTGTAAAAAACCTTAAGCTGTGCTGCTTTTTTTTTTTAGAAAAAAGCCACTTTTTTCAACCTCAGCTGTGCCCGACAAAGCAGCTGAGATTGAAAAAGCAGCAAATAAAGGACAGGTAAGAGCCTGGGCAGGCGGGTGGGCCAAACAGCAGCAAACACAGAACTGGTTCAGTGTCTGCTGCTCTTTAGAGCTACTGGTTCTATAGAGCCAGGTAGAAATGATACCATCCCATGCCTGTTGCAAGCTCTTCCAACCTCCAAACTATGATCAACCCAGGGGTAGGATCCAACCAGTGTAACTACCAGTTTAGTGATTTTATGTTTTACATAGAACCGGTTCTATGTATGCTCTCTGTCTGCTGCTCTTCAGAGCTACCAGTTCTACAGAGGTAGACAGAACCAGTAGAATCTCACCCCTGGATCAAGCCCCCACCTCCTTACCATGGCTGAAGTCTCAAATGATCCTGCAGGATTCTCAAAAGTCAATAATTGATTAGCAGTAGAATCCTTGTCCTCTACATTTCAAACTTTTGAATTTCCTTTGAATTCCGGTACCAGCCCCTTTCTGACTGGACACCCATATTTGTTGCCTTTTACCTGACTGGAGGGTCAATTGTTCTCTAAAAATCTTGCATCATAATCATAAACCTCACATTACTCCTATTTTGGTGTCTGTCTCATGTTCTCAGGGTCAGAAACAGCCTTGTCCTTATTTTCATGAACAATCTTATTAGTTCATTTGCCACAGATATGCATTTACCTTGCACACTCATAAATAAAGCTTTATAGACACCTGTTAAGCATCCATTAGAATCCAGAGCCCGGATTCTCTACTTATATTTCTGATATTTTGCAATGAGTCATGTCTTAAGGTTATTAGTTTTGAGCCAACAGTTGTAGTGGTCAAGTGGGGAATTTAGAGGTTTACAGCCAGGATATAAAGCCATGCATATCCAAGTTAGTTATTTTTAGGTCTGTCTATCTTTACATACTTCTAATATTCCACCTGTTTCCCAAGGGCCCAGATGGTTTACACAGCATACATTTCTCTTTTGTTTTCTCAACAATAACCCTATGAGTTAGGTTGGGTTGAAAAAGATTCAATTGAATTTCTAGCTGAAAGAGTCCTGAAGGAAGCAAGAATGACAAGAGGAATTACTCCAGGGACATCTCCTTATTGTTGTTTACCTAAAGCAGTAATGGTGAACCTTTTTGGCACTGAGTGCACAAACTGAAACTCGCAGAAACCTGAAGTGCCAGAAACCTGAAGACCAGCTGGCTGGTGCATGCATGCCTGGTTTTGCCAATTTTGGGAGCCATTTTCTGGCCATTTGGGGGGCTGTTTTCAGGCCGTTTTGCCCAAAAATGGCCTGGAAAATAGCCCCCAAAATGGCTTGAAAAATTGCCTGGTTTTTTGGGGACATTTTTCTGGTGCTCTGGTGCCCATGAAGATCCACTGGCCAGTGCACATGCCGACAGAGACAGCTCTGAGTGCCACCTCTGGTACGCATGCCATAAGTTTGCTATCACTGTCCTATAGGCATGAATCTTGTCAGACTAATGCAGAAATCTGCATAACTACTAGATATATTGTGAAAGGTTAGGTAAGGTCCACCCTGTCTCTCTTCCTGCATACCAAAGGTTGCATGCTGAGCTGCCTCTTTGCTCTTTGGGAAAGACCCCCTCTGTGATAAATGCCCCCCAAAAGTAATTTCTACATATAACAACCTCCCTTTGGTGATTCTGTACCATACCTCACCACAGGAGGTGATCTTTAACTTGGATTGCCCAGATCCTATTCCAACACCTCCATCACAAGGTTGACTTAGCCTTCCATCCTTCCAAGGTTGGTAAAATGAGGACTCAGATTGTTGGGGAAAATATGCTGACTCTGAAAGCTGCTTAGAGAGGGCTGTAAAGTGGTATATAAGTCTAAGTGGTATATAAGCCTCCACTTAGAGTCAAACAACCTACTCTCCAAAAAACAATTTGGTTTCAGGAAAAAATTGTCCTGCAACCTACAACTCCTACACTGCAAAAACATATGGACTACTCTACTCAACCAGGGTAAAGCAATAGATGCAATTTACATAGATTCTGCAAAGCCTTTGATTCAGTGGTACATGACAAACTACTGTTAAAGCTAAACTCGTACAGCATTTCCAGATCCCTTCATAAGTGGATTACTGCATTCTCGTCAAGCAGGCAATAAATAGTAAAAATAGGGAGCACTATATCAAACCCTGCTCCAGTCAACAGTGGTGTCCCCCAAGGCAGCTTTATACTCTGTATAAATGACCTTTGCAATCATCTTATAAGCAACTGCATCCTCTTTGTGGATGATGTAAAACTACTCAACACCACCGACAATGCTACTATTCTTCAAAGTGACCTTGATTATGTGTCTGAATGGTCAAGCATTTGGCAACTCCAAATCTCGACAACAATTGCTCTGTCCTACACATTGGTAAAAAAAATCAGTTCACCAATACAAGCTAAGCGGATATGACCTCATTGATAACCCTCACTCTGTCAAGGACCTTGGAGTACTCATATCTAATCACTCGAGCTCACTGTAACAGCATTGCAAAAAGGCATTAAGAGTTGTAAATCTAATCATACAAAGCTTCTCCTCTGGAAATATTGTATTGCTAACTATTCAAAACCTTTGCTAGTCCAATACTCAAATACAGCTCATCTATCTGGAATCTGCACTGTATATTGGACATTAATACAATTGAGCGAGTCCAGAAGTATTTCACAAGAAGAGTACTACACTCCTCTGCTCGCAACAGAATACCCTATACCACCAGGCTTGAAATTTTGGGCTTGGACAATCTTGAACTATGCCACCTAGGGTTGGACTTAAGCGTAGTACACAAAATTATCTGCTACAATGTCCTACCAGTCAATGACTACTTCAGCTTCACCCGTAACAATACAAGAGCATACAACAGATACAAACTCAATGTTAACTGCTCCAAACTTGATTGTAGAAAATACGACTTCAGCAACAGAGTGGTCAATGCCTGGAATGCACTACCTGACTCTGTTTTACATCCTCAAACCCCCCACTCCTTTACCTCAAACTAACCATTACTGACTTCACCCCATTTCTAAGAGGTCTATAAGGGGTGTGCATAAGTGCACCATCATGCCTCCCATCCCTGCCCTATTGTCCCCATTTATTTGTATCTATTTCCTGGATTCTTACTCATATTTATACTTATACCTATTATCTTGTAAGCAATTGACAAATCAAATCAAATAAAAATAAATAAATAAGTGCTATTGCTATTGCTATCCAAAGCAAATTCTACCAACAGAACTTGGATTATGTTTAACAGCTTCACTAATGTATTTCACCTTTGCTTTTTCCTTCTGATCACAGTGGCTATTTGTAGTTATTAGAAAGTTTAGTGTTTACATTCAAATGCCTTAAAATGTGAGTTGGCATTTGTCCTTGGGGACTCTTTTTTTAGTGTAAAGCCCAGTTTGGTTCTTTGATGAGTAACAGCTTTAGAGGAAGGCATGAAGGAAAGACATTATAACATGTTTATTTGAAAGGTCAGATCATCATTTATTATGGGAAGGAGTGTGCATTTTGAATACCAGGAAGGTAGAGTGCATAAACTCAAGCTTATTTTCTTGCATTCTGAAACCACATGCTAAGGCCATATTGCTGCCATATGTTGCTACCGGATGACAACTGCTATCAAATGCAGCTACCAATAACCTGCCACTCTGTTTATTTCTACATTCTCTTTTTTTTTTAGAAAAAAACCTAGCTTGTATAGACAGTAATTCAAAGGAAAATGGCTGCATTTTTAAAAGGCATTCCAAAATATCTTATATCCACGACTCTTGTAATGATGCCCAGAAGTGTAAAGTTTATCTGTCTAAGAGTAAAATCACATTCTCACTCTTTGGGCTGGGTTGGCATTTATTCTCCTCCCTAAATTAAACTACAAACAAAAGGGACCAATTTACACTTCCAGGAATTCTGTTATTAGCATTTCATTCACAGCTACTAGAAAGGTGTCATACATAATGCATGAATGAAGGAGCTCCAGTGGTTCTGGTGAACATGTTCATTTAAAAGAAAGCTAGCTTTATTTAAACCAAAAAACTAAATTAAATTCACTGAAAATTCTGGTTACTGGCAATCACTTCTAGAAATAGCAATAGCAATAGCACTTAAGACTCATATACCATTTGACAGTGCTTTACAGCCCTAAGAGGTTTACAGAGTCATCATATTGCCCCCAACAATCTGGGTCCTCATTTTACTGACCTTGGAAGGATGGAAAGCTGAGACAACCTTGATAGTTCTCACTAGACTTCTTCTGTGTGATTATTGAGTCCTGTCTGATAGAATAACCTAAAATGTACCATTGTTCTTGCATCATACACCCACCCCCTCACCCTGAAATTATATCTCAGCAGAGAAATTGTTGTGCTTGTGATTTTCAAAATCCAGATCAAAAACATTTGATGAAAAAGATAATTCTATTCTACAAGCACGCCTAGATGTCAATTAATACAGTGTTAAAAAAATCATTGTTTATTTTGCATATATATAACTTTTAAAAAGCTCATAACTATAGACAAATTGTATCATTTATAGGCAGAAAAGCTGCCCTGCACATGATGTAGTATTCTACCATGCAGTCACAAATTTAGACTGAATTTGATCTTAATATTAGTTTCCCTCCTCAGTATCTTTTTTTTTGTTTCTAACTCTACCTCATATATGCACACATTTATGATTATATAGATCTTCTCCACCACCACCTCCCTCTCTCCCTCTCTCCCTCTCTCTCACACACACATACACACACACATCAGTGAGCTTCTTCTAATCATATTGAATGTGGTTATTTAGTTTTAAAGAACACAGGCACTGTTTCAAATCACTTTTTCAAATGCTTTTGGTAAATGGAACTTCTTCCATGAAAGAGACAAAATGGCATACCAACTGAAATATGCATTTCTTTTATTTGTGTATTATTATTTCTTATATAGACAAAATCATTCTGCTAATTTTCTAAATTGTTAAAAACGTTATTGAGGAAGTTAATATACATAACTGGATACCAATGATTCACTACTGGTAGCAGTAATATCATTAGCTTGCTATATCCCTGATATCTATATATCATAATCTTTTTATTTAATATCCTACCATTTATTCTGTAACAAGTTGCTGTTTTTAACTGAAGCAACTTATCAGTAAATGGAAAATGTTTCCCTTTTTTTTGATCCTCTATCTTACAGTGGTTATATTGTTTGTTTTTCTTTAGTATAATCTATTGCTTATCTTTCATTAGTCATTTATTCACCGTCCCATTTCAGAACTGTGTCTCTCCTTCACTGTAGGATCATCTTCTGTATGCCGAATGTGAAAATTAAAGATTAAAATAACAGTAAAAAGGATTGTACACAGCATGGTGCTCTCCGTCTTTACCGTAAGCTTTGACAACATTTCCATGTCATCCTTGCAGACTGGAATTTACCATTTATTCAGGCTTCATTCCTAGATACATTTACTCCTACACAGCTGGCAAGAGTCTTGCTTCTGGCTTGCTTCATATATTCTGTACACAACATTTCTCTAGTCTAGAATCCTCCAAAAGGTTTCAGACTACAATACCCAGAATTGACAGGAAATACTACTGAGTACAAGTTGGAAGAAAGTTTGGGTGAGAGTTGGATTTTCCATTTATTGTTCCATGTAAGTTTGGAAAAATAGATCTGGGGGAAAATATTACTGAATAAGGTAGGAACAAGATGATCCTGCAAGATCTTCAGTTTGTAATACTACATGGCAAATCCTGTTGCATGGATATAAATAGGCATAACTCCTGGGGCACTTTATTTCTCCCCCTCTCCTGCAATTTATAAACAAAAGGCCCCATAATTCAGTGTCCCCATAATTGTTTTCTTTTTAGGTCTGCATATATCTTAAGTGCCAAAGTTGGTCCTTAGAATATTTCAGTTGTATATTCATAATTTCCAATACAATTTCAATTTTTATTATTATTAGCCTATATTTTTTTCTTTATTTCACAATAGCCAGCAATCTCCCCAGTGAATATGTTTTTTCTTTTCTTTATAAGCCTGTTTCAATGTCCAATACATCCATATACTGAATATGGGGTCTTTTTAAGGGGACAAATGGGAAGGGAACTACCTAAAGCATAGCTCCATATTAAAAAACGTTTGGGTTGGTATATTTTATTCAAGATGGGGAAACCGAACAGTTGAAATATAATACCAAAGACTATTTCAGGATTTTTCTTTTTCTTCATATACTCCCATTTACAGAGCTGGTGACTTTAACAGATAGAAAGCAATGGATTTAGGGTTCAGTGAGAGGAAAATGGTGGGGACATTCAAGTGGACGTTCTTTCCTCAGGCGTCTAAAACTTTTAGAAGAGCCAGAGCTGGATCTCTACTCTGCTGATAGGAAGGGGAAGTACCACAGACCCCTCTGCAAACTCAAAGATTTACTGAACTTTGAGCCATAGTAATCACATTCTCTGTTTTTCATCAATTAAATTCTCTCATATTGTGTGGATAAGAAAAAACACAGTGCTGTGATCAGCTGCTTCCCAGCCAAAACAGTATGAAACAGACCAATGATCTATTTCACTCCTAAGCTCCACTTGAGATGTGCCAGCTGCTGACTTGCAAATGCTTAAGGGAAAAACAACATCACAGGGCCCAGTTGTTGGGCTGTCTTTAAATTCAAGGAAGAATTTTGAACAAAAGGATACTTGGGTAAACACTCATTTGACCCTGGCCAAATGAGGAAAATACCACAAATTTCTATGGGAAAGAGAAAGGAGTTGGAAAGGATAAAATATTTACTGCTTATTTTGCTTTGCCTGTGCCATCATTGTTGATAGCCTCCTTCCCAGGAAATGTTGAAATTTCCACTACTGATATTGACCCAACCACTGAAATTAAATTATCTTTCCCCAAAGATTCCAATTTGGGCTTTGGCAAAAAGAAAAGACCTGAAAGCCTGAACTAAACTGAAATATACTTTTTTTTTTAGAAAAGAGGGGTATATAAGATAGGCCCCCTGACAGGTAAAAAAAACCCTTGGACTTTTGTAGCCATTTTTTAAAAGAGCAACTTTAAAAAGCAACTTTTATCCTTTATAGAAATTGCTGAAAACAAACTGCATTAAATGTGTATTTGTATCTCTGTGTGTAAGCATGCATGAGTGTTCCTTCAAATCATTCTTGACTTTTAGAGATTGCCTGGACAAGTCCCTGCAATTTTCTTGGCAGAATTTTCAAAAGTGGTTTGCTATGGCCTTCTTCCTAGAACTGAGCGAGTGATTGGCCCAAAGTCACTCAGCTGGCTTCATGCCTAAGGTGGGACTAAATGTCCTTGCCTCTTTGTTTCTACTGTGGTGCTTTGAACCATTACAGCAAACTGGTACTCATGAAATCTTTCAGTTCATTTGATTACAAGACTAGAATCTCTAAGTACAATAAAGTAATACCTGCTAAAAAAAGTCCATGGATCTGGACTTCTTTTAACATCTGGTCAATTTTATCACTTGGAATGTTCAGTCACTTATAGCATGTAGTTTGACTCACCTGCTTAAACTACTGGAACTATTTTTTCTACAATCAAATTTTAGATATTTGAGGTATGAGGGAAAATTGAATTGTGACAGAGCTGAGTTCTCATGGGCGCACATCCAGCTGGTTGACCTTACCCCTAGGAAGGAAATAGTGGCAAATAATTTCTTAAAAAAACCTTGCCAAGAAAACTGAAGTGGTCTGCCAGGGTAGCAGCCTGGAGTCAACACTGACTCAAATAAACACACAAACACAAATCTTGAAAGTGGAAATCTACCCAGAGGGAATACACAGGGATAGGTAAAATTGTTAGAAGGAGAGACCAAACTCATATATAATGTTCTTTGCTGGTGTGCTTGAGAACAAAGACAGAGAGAAACGACTTCCAATGAGTAATCTCTTAGGCAAAGAGCAAGTGAAGGGACAGATCGAAAAGGAGCACAGTTCAAATCCTTGATACTCAGTCTACGCTGTACTGCTCTCTGGATTCAGTAGCTCATGAAATTGGTTTTGGACCTCCAATACGGCTTTATTACAGTGGCTATGTTTTTGTTTCCTCCTTCCTGGGAAGAGATAATCCCACAATTGAACTCCATAAAAATCTATCTATCAGATAAGCTAGCCAGCCTAAAACAAATAAATGATTTCCTGGGATATTATGGCCTGGTTTACCTTTGTTGAAAAAAGAATGGCAAAAGATGACACTCTCAACAAAGAGTGAAGCCCACAGCTTTTTTTTAAAAAAAGAAACATTTTGTATCTGCTTTCTTTCTTTCTCTTTTACACCCACAGAGAGAGTAGGAGGTACAGCAACAGTAAAAGGGAATCTGAAATGTCTAGAGAGCCAAAGGAGGTAAAGTTCACACAAAAATAGTTAAGTACCAAGAGATTCTTCACACAACATTAGTATTAGCAGCTAATACTGTTTAAAAAAAGAAAATCACCTCACTACTTGATCAATATAATGCTGAAAATGAAAATTATCAGTAATCAAAAGGGTTCATAATATATATGAATCCTACATATATATTAAGGAAATATGATTATGCTTTAGGCATTACAGTGATTGGGCATAGGGAAGAAACTGGGACCATACTATCTAGCCCCTGTTCCTGTCTTTGATGGTATAATTTTGGCAAATGATGCACTTCTCCTTTTCTCTGTTCATTTCCAAACAAAGTCAACATCCAGGCTATTTGAGGAACGGTCATCCCAATTTCATTGACCCATCGGGCAGTAAGGGAGGACGTATTTCTGACCCTTGTGGGTTAAAAATTTTTGATTGGTGAGGTCTTCTAGGAAGAGAGCCTTCTCTGACATTGCTCCTGCCCTATGAAACAACTTCACTCCACTCCTGGCCTTCCAGAAGTGCAATAAGACCTGGCTCTACCAAATGGCCCGGGGTTCCAAGCGTGACATGCAACCTTGGTGTGCTTGATAGTTGGAAGTGCTCCCTCTGCCTTTTAACTCTGCAATTGTTCCTTTTTGTTTTAATTTGATTTTTTAACTTGAAATTAATGAAAGCTTTTGTATCATTTTAATGTGTGTTCTATAAACCAGGCAGAGACATGCAAGTGTGTTGGGTGGTAGAACATCAAGATAAAGCAAACATTCAATACATATGAAAATTGATTAAAAATGACACAAATTAAAACAAACCAAAAACAAGGGTTTGGAGGGGAGTGCACCAACCACTTCCAGCCAATAGCTTCTCCTTCATAAGTACCACATAGCCAGGTTTTAAGGCCTTTCCTAAAGGTTAATAGAGAGGGAGCAGCTCCTGTTGCAAGATGTTCCAAAGGGCAGGACCTATGCAGAAAAAAAGGTCCTGTCCTGGATCCCACCAGGTAAAATCCCTTTGTTGATGGGATCCAGAGTAGACCCCTTCTGCCAGCACAAATGGGTCAAGCAAATTGCATTGGGGAAAGACAGTTCCACAGATAGAATAGGAAAAGAATTTCTGGGAAAGTGGGCAGTCTAAATGCATTTTTTAAAATATTAGACTAAAGACAAAAACAATATTGCAGATTATCATGATTTTAGGAAACATTATCTTAGCTCAGGTTAACATGAAAGGCAAGAATACTTCCCAGCCTACCTACATCTTCCCCTCAGGTCCTAAAGAAAGAAGGTTGCATACAATCCTTAGGCTTGTTGCTATAACACCAAGAACCACAGCTTTGAATTATGCTGAAACTGAGCCCAGGGATGGAGATTTTCCTTTGGATTGTGATTTAATGTGAACAAATCCACACTTCCTAAACCGAAGCATGAATTGTAATGCAATTTTCCATTTATATTTATCCTTTTCCAAATTTGGTCATGCTATTTTCCATTTTTTTAAAAAGACATATAAAATGTATACCAAATACATATAATAGAAAAAATGCATGTACACATTAGAAAAAGCATGCATAAAATGTATGCTACATTTTATATGGACATTTTTTGTAAGAGACTGCTGCAGAAACAGGAAAGAACAAACTAAAGTTTGGAAAAATAAGAACTGAGTGAAATTGAACTTGACAGATTAGTTTTTCTCTACTAATGGCACTTTCCTCCCTTCCCTATTATGCATCTTTAGCAAATTACCCAAAGCAGACAACTCCTCTTATTTTTTGGATTTGGCACTGCAAATGTTGTAGTCATAGGTATTAGATCAAAATAATGATGGCCTGGTTATAATTTGGTCAGAAAAGGGAAGCAATATCCTCACAGCAGATTATTCTCAGATGCAAGGTAAACACCCATTCTTTGAGAAAAGCCATTTCCAAAGAACCAAATGAAAACTAATCACAACTGGGATGCCAACACATTTTATTTTGGGCTTCCTTAGCCTGGTATCTTCTTAATGTATTGTAAGGTGACCAACCATCCTCCTTTAGGGAAGACAATCCTTCTTTTATAAGTTCTGTCCTCTCTCGAAAAGTGTCCTTCTACATGTCCTCTTTTTTGATATTTGAAGACTAATCTGTAAATCTCCATATTTGATCGATGTCGATCCGATCTGTTGTGTGTGGTGTGACGTATTTGTATTTGACATGACAATTCATCAAGGCTCGGTACAGTGTGGTGAGATGCAGCTATGAGATGCATGCGCTCCACACAGGAGAATTGTTTTGAGAGAGTACGCCGTGCGCAAGAGTGTACCACACGCAAGAGTGTGCCACGCGCAAGTGGCTTGGTTTTTTTTCTTCAATTTATTTGTGTCCTCCTTCTCATTGTAAAAAAGTTGGTCACCTTATGTATTGGGACTGGAAGATCCAGAATCCCCAGCCAGCATACCATCTAGGAATTCTGAGATCTGCAGCCCCAATACATCAGAAGGACACATGGATAGGGAAAGCTAACCTAAACAAAAGCAACCATCTTTTTCACCCTGACAATCCTGTTGATGAAGCATTCCTAGTTTATTAAGAATTTAGATAAATACCTGGAGAAGTACCACAGTTCCAGGCTGAAAGGGCGAAAGCATTAAAAAAAACTGAACAAAAAAAATGTAAGGTATGATTTGTAATGGGAATGAAAACATTTGTGTCTTCTCATGAAGATTGTTTTGTCAAAATGCATTGGGAATTTGGTTGAATCGGTAATGCAGAAAGGCTGAGATGAGAGACGCTGTGCAGGCAAAGAAAGCCAGAAGCCAGCTGGAAAAGGTTCTTCAGGATCACATTGTCACTGGAAAGAGAAAGCTTCTCACACATCAATGCCTCATATTTCATTTCCTGGGAATGTTGACAGCAACACATATTTAGGAAAAGAAGTTCCATAACCCTGAAATACTTACAGCTGATTCTAAAGAGGAGAGCTGTAAAGATCCTGGACAAAAAAAGGTGGGAGAAAAATAAGAAGCTTTCATGCTCAAGTAAAGGGCTGCCATAGTGTTTGGTCACCTAATCGTAATCTAGAGCAGCTGAGATATTGCATTCAACTTCTGTGTAGATTAGGAAAGTGCAAGTCACCAAACGTTCATGGTTTCCATGAAGTTTAGTGGGGAAAGTGTAAAGAATTACAACTAGGAAGATTCTCTGGATCTACTATGTTCCAGAGCTGGAGTCCCCAAAAACTCTAGTAGTGCTGAACATTCCCTTTCTCCCCTCTCCAAAAAAGTCAATAGCTGCCTATGGAAAAAGGAATCCCAGCATTCCGTTCCAATCGAAGCCAAATATGCTAAGGGATGTAGGAAGCATTAATCACATAGAGAATAGAAGAGGAACCCATGTTGTCAATGAATGGAAAATAATATACTTACATAGTCATTCCCTGAATGAAATCCTTGCCCTATGCTTATATATGCATACTAACACTGATCTATCATCCATCTATCCATCATCTACAAACTTCCTTTAGGCATCAATCCATTGGTCTAAGCTGGCAGTGTTAGAAAAGGGATCCTGGAGTCTCATGATGGGCAGCTTGAGGAAAAGGTCAACCAGGGAGCAGCTGCTATAAAAAGAGAAATTCTATTCCTAGAAATGTTAGGAAGGAAACTGAAAATAGAACTGCCCATATAATAACGTCCTCATACAAACTTAACCTGTCACCCTCAAGGAGCTGTGTACCGTTCTAGTACCTCCACATTAAGAAAGATGTGAGAAGTCAAAAAAGGTGGAGAAAGAAAAGTAGGGGCAACCCATTCAGGAAAATCTATTAGAAGGCTTTTTGGGTTCAAACAAAGGAAAATAAAAAGAGTCAGGAATCTCCATAGGTATGGTCAAAAACTCAAGATGATGGCTGCAATAGTAGGCATCAACACCACATCCTCCCTGTTTTATATGCCACACATTAAAAAAAATGGAAAGACCGTTAATCACACCATTGTGGCCACTCTTTAAAAAAAAAAAAATTATCATGCCCTGCCCCATATGGTAGAGATATATAAAATATATACGCAGAAAAAGGACGGTAACTTTTTCTCCATCTTTCATAATTTCAAAAGGCCATCTGCCGAAAACCCAATGCAGGAGATTAGGGATTGACGGAAGGAAGTACTTCTTCACAGGGCATATAATTAAACTGTGGAATTTGCCATTTTATTCATAGTAGCCATTCTGAATTGTTTCAAAAGGAGACTGGGCAGAGTCACAGAGAACAGGCTATAAAAGGCAACAAACACTGATGGCATCTTCAGTCATAAGTAGCATACCGTAAATATTGGCTTCTGGGAACAACTGGTATGTGGGAGATAATGTGGGAGCTACTATCTTCCATTCCTGGTTTCCAAAATGCTTGTAGACACTGCATGATTCAAA